AGATGATCAGCAGGAAATGTGAAGAGTCCCAGTGACAGTGTCAAAGCCAAGTACCTCAGCTGTTTGTTGCTAGAATTGTACTGAATATCATTTTATCAGATAAATATATGATGGCAGAACTTCTTATTTTGGAATGTTCATATTAAATTTTTTTAGCATAAATTTATCTTTTTATAAACATAATGAAAATTGTGTGTGTACAGTAGTCAGTATTTCTGTGCTTTGAGCGTGGAATGTTATCAGAGAAACTGATTTCTGATATTGTAGTACCTTAGCTACTCGGTGCCAGAAAGGGGGGAAATTATTCCGGTCTTTGTGTTTGAATGTGGTACTTCAAATCTGGTTTTCAAAACAGAGTAATAAGAGCAGTTACAGTCATCAATTTACCCATCTGTGGACAGGTATCTAACATAGGTGGGTGAATCAGCTTACTTAGAAAATTATCTCTGTTCACTGACTAGAGAAAGATGGTAGGTATATAACTTCAAGTGTATAACATTTAAATGCTTGTTAAGCGCAGTGAATCCCAGCCAGTGTATTTAGGGCAGTGGCACTTTAAAAGCTTTACAGTTTTTGCCTTGGGTAATGATATATAATCTGCTCCATTTCTTACTCTCCTTGAACACCTAAAAATACTGCAGTAAGTTTTAGATGATCAGTATAACTATGTCCCGGTAATTGGGATATCTCCTATATTAATGATTACGTAAAGCATCTGAAATTTTATGCTGCATACCTTACAGCTTCCATTCAAAATCTGATGAAAGATGTTAATTCCATGATCTGGTATGCAGCATGTCACTAGTGGGATCTCAAATCCTAGATTTAATTTCTGTGTTTCAACAGTATTAAATCCAAGTTCTGTCTTTGATTGGTCTTCAAATCCAATTCCTGGTAGGCTGACGTGGGCACTGAGTACTCCCTTGACATAAATCTTCACTGAGAAAATATGTTATTGTGGGTATATATGTTCTGTTCAAAATTCCAATTTCTTCTAACATCAGTTGACAGCAATCAGTGTCGGACAATTATGTTTTCATTTAAATCAATAGTTAAGACTGTTTCTTCCTTCATTTTCTGAACACGGACTGCTTCTCCAAAATTACTGTGGGTTTTAGTTGATAAGCAACAGGTTTCAAAGTGACAAACACAACAGAAGGTATTTTATATACAAAAATTCATTATTTATGTAGAACTAGGTGCTGCTAATCTTGCATAACAATTCTATGTGGATTTAGTTGGAAGGTCCACAGTACACACCTTTGGGGTATAAGTGCAGACTTCCAAATTAAAAAAAGAAACCACAAGCATCTGAACAAGTGCAATTAAAGCTGCGTGGTTGTGGGAAACTTTGGAAAAACTTTCATCATGCCTGAAGAAACAACATTGCATAAGACATGGAATGATACTTAGGGACAATAATGATAGTTCATGCATTACTGATAACACAACTTCTTTTTAACCTGCATGTCACAGCCAGTATACTGCTGAAGCATTTTGGAGGGATTTGAAAGTCAGTTTCTTTACAGCCAATAAATTTAGACACTTAAATGAACATCAGCATCATAATGAAATCAACTTTGTGCTATTCTTTTTCCTGTCTGTGTTATAAGTGCAAGAGTTCTTGCTCTTAGCAATGGAATATCGGGGACGGAAATCAAGTTCAGCTGTTTTTCTGGTGTTTTTCTGTGCATGTGTACTAGATTGATTACACTTAAGTGATTATTGCAACCGGCACAGACCAGTGTTTTATCACCAGGACACTTAGCGCATCTCTTGTGGATGGGTTCATATTTTGGAAAATGCATCAAGCAAAATGCCATTTTACTTCATTGTATAAACTTTGGGGGGAAAAGGTAAAATTGTAGGCTGCAGAGCTGTTCATAGCGGTTGAGGAAACAAAATGAAATTGGTCATCAGAAAACTCAGAAAATTGTAGACTGAAAAAATACGGTCTCACCATAGGAAACAATGGAGTGGTTATGCCATACTGTTAAAACTCACTGCAGCTCATTTAATGAGTGAGGGGTGTTAGCAAAGGAGACAGGGAAAGCAAATATCCTACTGGTGAGGTTTTGTGGAAGAGGGCTGTCATCATGGTTTTCTCTCTGTTCATGCTGTATGAGAGTGTAGACTGAGGACAATGCAACTAATCTCTTACATTCATAA